TGATGCTCTGTCTTCTTGGTGCTTGGGGGGGGCAACAGTGGGAGGGCTTCTAATGTCCTGGCCCCACTGGTGGACCTCCTGATGGCACTGGTATTTCTGGCCACTGTGTGACACAGTGTTGGACTGGATGGGCCTTTGGCCTGATCCAACATTGGCATCTCTTATGTTCTTATGTTCTTATGCAGTGCCATAGAGTCCACCCCCCCCCAAGGCATCCATTTTCTCCTGGGGAACTGATCTCTGAAGTCTAGAGATGAGCTGTAGTTCTGAGGGATCCTCAGGTCCAACCTGGAGCCTGGCATCCCTAGGTTACTCGTACCCAGTTTCTTTCTCCTCTCACGTGCAGGCTGAATCAGGAGTATCATAAGACAGTCAGACAGAGGGGGTGGGGAAAGTCTCAGCCGCAGAACTGGTGATCAGTCAAATCCTAAGAGCTCTCAAAAGCCATCCATCCAGTGGATCAATAAATGGCCAAAGGGTGTAGAATTCTGAAAGGGAGAGAGTCCCATTTTCTATCACCAGGGAAACCCAAATGCTGCTGCTGAACTATGAACACTGAACTATGAGTATATGTGTATATGAGCTTTCATGAGTCACGGCTCACTTCTTCAGGTATCTGAAGAAGTGAGCAGTGATTCACAAAAGCCCATACCCTGCCACAAATTTTGTTAGTCTTTAAGGTGCTACTGGACTCTTTTCTACTGCTACAGACAGACTAACATAGCTACCTGTGTTCATCTATATGTGTATATATTTCTTTTCAGTCAAAGTGGGACTGTGACATGGGGACAGCTAAGATGAATATGGGTCAATTGAAAAACTTCCCTCCCTTTGACCTTTAATATCCCCAGAACTTCCTGCTTAATGGGAAAGTGCCTCCACATCTTTATTTTCCTGTATTGCTGTGACTGATGGGGACTTGCATCTTCTCTCTTTTTCTTTGCAAAAAGATAGAGATGCTCAAGGTTCCACATCATGGAATTTGCATGAAATTTCCTATATGTGTACCATTTTTATTTGGGCAGCAGTATGTTGTATTGAGAGGAGCTGTGGTGGCTCAAGTGGTTAAGATGGTGAACTGCAGGCTGTGGAAGGTCGGTAGTTCAGCAGTTCGAGACCCGGGTGCCGCATGACGGAGTGAGCTCCCGTCTCTAGTTCCAGCTCTTGCCAGCCTAGCAGTTTGAAAGCAAGAAATTGCAAGTAGATAAATAGGTACCACTTCAGTGGGAAGGTAACAGCGTTCCGTGCACCTTGGTGTTTAGTCATGCCGGCCACATGACCACGGAAAAGTCTTCAGACAGCACTGGCTCTTCAGCTTTGAAACAGAGATGAGCACCGCAACCCTAGAGTCGGATTCGACTGGCTTTCGAGCAAGGGAACCTTTACCTTTACCTATGTTGTATTGAATAGATCATCAGATTTGGACTGGGAAGACTTGAGCCCAATTCCCTGCTCAGCCAAGTTTATTCATTTATTACATGTTTATCCTACCCTTCCTGAAGAGGAGGGGACATGGATCAGTGGTATAGCATTGACTTTGGAGGAAGAAGGTTTCAGGTTCAACTCCCAGCATCTCCAGTTAAAATGATCAGACAATAGGTGATGTGAAATGACTTTACCGTAAAGCCACTGCCAGTCAGAGAAGACAATAATGACCCTCATAGACCAATGGTCTTTTCGGTATAAGGCAGCTTCATGTGTTCCTCTAAGGTGGCATGTCAAGTTTATTAATTTATTACATGTTTATCCTACGCTTCCTGAAGAGGAGGGGACATGAATCAGTGGTACAGCATTGACTTTGCAGGAAGAAGGTTTCAGGTTCAACTCCCAGCATCTCCAGTTAAAATGATCAGACAATAGGTGATGTGAAATGACTTTACCGTAAAGCCACTGCCAGTCAGAGAAGACAATAATGACCCTCATAGACCAATGGTCTTTTCGGTATAAGGCAGCTTCATGTGTTCCTCTAAGGTGGCATACACGTACTCATTTTACCTTAACAGTAACCTGTGAGGTAGGTTATCCAGAGAGAGAGAGAGAGATTGGCCCAGGCTAATCCAGGAAGGTACATGGTACTGTGGGGATTTGAACTTCGGTACCCCCAGTCCTAGTGCAACATACTAACCACTATACCACACAGAGATCTTTGCCCAGCCAACATCGCTCAGCTGAACCAGATAAAACAAGATAGTTAGCTCCCAGGTATCTATACTGAGGAGTCTAGTAGAGAGATGGTGGTACCACATCTTTAATTCTTCTGAAGATCTGTACAGCACCAGTACAGTTGGATCCACTGTTACTGGAATAGCAAGATAAATAAATAAATAAATAACCTTTCAATTTATTAATCGCTCAATCCTCCAGAGCTTGCTGGCTCTGAGCGATTTACAGTTACTCATATACACACGGAACAATGATTCAAAGGGGTAAGGGAAGACAACATATAAATCTTTAAATCATACATGTTTGCAGTCGACGGGGATAAGATGATCTTATCTGCCTTTGCACGTTTGGCAGGTTACAAGAACTGTGCTCATTGTCATGATTTATCTTCATATAGAGGTCTGTGAGGCTGTCAAAGGGTACAACAGGCCCAGCAGTGTCAGCACTGGCTGTCCGGTATTCAAAGGACCCTTCTGAAATGTCTTCCAGAAATTAAAATGGATAATGAGGAGTTCCTGTCCATTGTTCACAGAGTTCCTTGTCTCATTGTCACTACGGCAAGAAGCTGAGGAGATGATACAGCAATGATAACTCAGAACTCAGTTAACTACAATAAACTACAGAGCTCTGGAGATGAGGTGGGGTGGGGATTGATGGAGAACGAACTTGTGTCAGACTGTTTTCTTTCCTTGTTTACAATCATAGAATGAAGAAGGCCTCCCACAAGAAGGAGTGATGGACACAGACATGCCTGCAGACCCTGAAAATGAGGCCTACGAAATGCCTCCTGAGGTAAATCTTTCTTTGACATCTTCTGGCAGACCATGACAGTAAAATACCAGGGATAGGCAAGTGGTGGCTGAGCTAGTGTTCAATGTCCAAAACAATGTGACATGTGAGGGGATATATTCTGTCAGATGCTTCTGCAGGTGTACCACAACAGCATAAAAAGTCTTCCTTCAGGCAGAAGGACACAGATAAGAGCTAGGCACAGATAAGAGCTAGGCACTGTGTGTACAGTGGTGTACAGTGTATACAACATATCCTAAATTGCTGGATTACTAAACTGTATTATAATAATTTCTCATGTGGCAGTGTATTGTGTTCAGATCTAATGGGAGCTGAAGTCATGCAGAGGTTAAGAGTGTGAGGAGTCACTGGGAAAGCACCAGGTGAAATGAAATTCATTTCAACCATGAACTCACTTAAGTATCCTTAGACATTGTTAGCCAAATTGCCTAGATTTATAATTGTGGGGAATATGAATATTAAAAGGCAATAGGCATTAAATATAGGATCAGACCTGTGTATGCTGGAGTCCCATTTATCCAAATCCCAGAAGTAGACACTGAGACTAGATCTTAAAAAGCAATGATTTCTTTTACTAAAGGATTATCACACATACAGACATAAAATCAAACGTACACACACACAATACAGGACTAAGAAAGTAGAGGTGATTGATAGCTGATAGAGGGGTCAGTTATGGGGTGATACTATCTGTCCAGATACTCAGAGGTCCATGAAGAAAGGATTATGGCTCAAACCCAGAGGTTTGAGGGTGGACTGCCAGTTGGCATTAGGACAGAGGCACACGGTCTGAGGCCATATGCTTGGATGGTTATAGGCATTGGAAAACACAGCAGACCAATGGAAGGCCTTGGGTCTGGTCTCAGGTGAGAACAATAGATTACCTGGACCAATGATGAGTCCCAGGGGTGTGTGGCATCAGGATGGGCAAGGCCTGGATATGACCAATGAAGTTCCACAGAGGCAGAGTCAGGCTTAACAATAGCCTTGGTTAAATCAGCCAGGTGCTGGGAGGCTAGTTGAATGGGTTTTCTGACCACTACTGGTCCTGCCAAGGCAGTTGAATAGGTTCCCAGATACAGACAAAAGGTGGGAGATGGGTCTCTGATTAGATTGCTAAACATTTGAATGTATAATTGGTTTATCTTGGCATCCTGAGAGACGGAGCAGGAAAGACAAATATTGAGACAAAGAATTACTGGAGACAGGGCTATTTGCCAGGTGGCCTCTGAATAGCCTTTAGAAATGTAGATATTTTACCTAGTGGAACTCATTGTCATTCCATAAGCTTATCTTTTCTGGGTGGAAGGGGAAGACTGGAAGTTTGCTCTGAAGTTGCCTTATGAAACTTGAAAATGGAGACCCCTTTTTCCGAGCTGTGGCAAGCTCTGTGTTTCAGAACCAGGAGTGGCTTCCTTAGCCTGTGTTTTGTGGGTCTCTGGGTCAGGCTAGAAGTGGGGTGCCCCTGCTATTGGGGCTACCCGAGAGTAAAGGCAACGCCTCTGGCAACAACATGCCATTACTCTCTAGACACAATTGGGCATTCCCCCAGTGGCTTTAACTTGATTGAAAAGCACATTGTGACAGAGGTGTGCAAAGAGACAAATGGCAAGAAGGCTACCCCATCACCATAGATGTTGGTGGTTCAACCCAAAGTACTGGACAGTGCTGCAGGAGCAACTACATATGGGAATAAAGGAAATCCTGAAATATACCAGACAGGGGAGAATGGAGCAGTCACATGAGGCAAGCTGGAGGAGGAGACTACAAGGGACGTTGCTACCAACAGGGCAACCCCAGTGAGGGCTTTCAAGGCAAGTGAGAAGCAGAGGTCATTTGCCATTGCCTTCCCTTGCAGTCCCCCATCCAAGTACCAACCCTGCTTAGCTTCCAATATCTGACAAGACTGGGCTGTACCATACCATTCTACATCCCAACACCTCCTTATCTAGCTAGAGGAGAGTGAGAAATCACATTTTGGATAAATCCAATTTTCAACAGTTTCTCCTGAGGAAGAACATTTAAATGTGATAAATGTTGGGAAATTTGGAAAGCAAAGAAGCTCAGAAGCCAGGCTGATAGGATCTTCTTGTCACAGCAACTTACAGAGGCTGAAATGTTGAGGTAATCTTGGCATTTCCTGGAGAAGGTCAGGAATTCTGAGAGAAGCAGCAAGAGTTTTGTTAAGACCAGTATAATTTTGGGAGCAGGGAGAATCAGTACATATAGAACCTTAGAGGTTTCCTGCAGTGGTTACTTTCGGAACAAGGCCCCACTGGCAACAGGTTCAGCATATCTTTTGCCACAGGAAAATTTGCCCCTCCCTGCATTCTTGGGCCTTCCTAGTAATAGTTGCCAACTCTATCAAGATAAATTCTGAGAGATTTGGGGGTGATGCCTAACAAGGATGCCATTTGGGTAGGGGAGATAGTTCAGTGGGGATTAGATGCCATAGAGTCCACCCTCCACAGTTACCATTTTCCTAGGGGAACTGATCTCTCTAGTCTGGGGACCAGCTGTGATTCTGGAAAAACCCCAAGACCCACCCAGACAATGGCAGTCCTGTCCCCACCTCAACTTCTCCTTTTGCAGGAGGTTTTTCATTCAGCCTCAGATATAGAAGGAGGAGGCCATCAGCAGCCCCTTTTCCTCCTTCACTCTCAGCCCTTTCAAGCAGACTTATGAAATGGAGAAATGCCTACCAGGCCACTCGATTCCTTACTTGTATGTAGCAAGCAGCACATGGGACTCAGGCTCCCTTAAGCACCTACATGACAGCTGGCCTATGGTGTCCTGTTGCCTTAGCAAACTTATTCAGCTTTCTGTTCACCAGCCAGCCCTGCTTCCACTCTCTTCTTTGCCATCAGCTGGTCAAGCTCCTAGATCTGTCTTCTAGCCAGAGCTGGATTTGTACACAAGTGAAGTAAGATACAGTGTAGGCAGGGGTCCACAGCCTTTTAAAGTCTGCAGGCACCTTTGGAATTCTGACACAGAGTGGTGGGTGCAACCACAAAATGGCTGCCGGAAGAGATGGAGGCAACAACAAAATGGCTGCTGCGGGAGGTGGAGCCAACCACAGAATGTCAGGGAGTGAATCATAAGTCTTCAACTTTTCAGGCAGAAGCTCTTTTTAACAGAATGTCTTTCTGAATGACCATGTTGTTTCAAAACATTTTCTTGCATGCGCAGCTTACCTTCAGTACCACAGTGAAGAACCTTGTGCTGTGATGACAGTTTCTGTTGAAGCAACTGACGGCCAGTTAGAAGCCTTGCTGAGCAAAAGCCCCACCTGGCCATGGCCACTTTTTAAAAAATTGCAGGCACCAGGAAAAGGGGCTGTGGGCACCATGGGTCCTGCAGGAGCCACATTGGGGACCTCTAATGTAGGGCCTCAGGTTATAAGGGACCTTGAATTTTTTTAAAAACCCTAAAAAATTACCAATTTTTTGTTTTTATGGATCCTCTTAAACTTGACATAGCTTAGAACCTCAGTGTGTCTTAATTTTATTTATTTACTTATTTATTTTATTCAGGGCTATTTTGGGGCAGGAATGTTTTTAATGCACAGGAACGGAGTTCCGGCTCGCTTCAGAGTTGGCCACGCCCACTACAGCCAAAACCTCTGCCTCTCCGTGCCTTCCCCAGCCTGTCCTAGGGCCGGCTTGCCCAAGCTCCCCGCATCCACGGGGTGCCCGGGCAAGCCAAGGGAAGGTGTGGCCTAATATGCTAATGCACTGAGTTGTCAGGGGTGTGGCCTATTATGCAAATGAGTTCCTACTGGGCTTTTTCTATAAAAAAACCCCTGATTTTATTTATATCTTGCCCTCCCCACCGAGGCAGGCTCAGGGCGGCTTACATAAATCAATACAGGCCAGCTCCTAGTGAGCAGCATTGGACAGCCAACAATGGCTTGTCTCCCTTCCTCTCTTAGCTCAGGGTATTCAGTTACCTGCACAAAACCACAGGGGAAATTTCTGAGGCAAACTTCACTCAAACTTCACTTTTCTGTATCAAAAAGTAACTCTGAATTCTTGCCCTGTCCTGGATAGCCCAGGCAAGCCCAATTTCATCAGATCTTGGAAGCTAAGCAGGGCTGACCCTGGCAGGTATTTGGATGGGAGGCCTCCAGAGAATATCAGGGCCGAGGAGGCCAGAGACAGGCTATCAATCCACTTCTCTGGATGTTCTTCATGCCCCAGTAAGGAGTCACCAGAGGTCGCCATGATTTCCAGGCACAGGCATGTAAACAATGCAAAAATACCAAAAATAAAAACAAATTTCTTAATTTATGCCAAATAACTAAATACTGGTAGGAGGGAGGGGTTTAAAAATCTGCTGCCTGAAAAGCCTCTTTCCACGCATTCACTGTCAGGATTTTCATGTGATTGCATCAGATCTAAATCAAAAGAAGTGCACACCAATTATCCTATTGTTATGCATTGTGAAAATACTGGTACAGACTGCTTCCCTTCCTCCGCCTTTATGTGAAGCTGTTTGGAATTGTAGATTTTAGTTCTTTCATAATGTAAGTCTTCAAAAATCATATTCTTTCTTCAAACAAGAGCCTACAAAGGTATACCTACTCAGATTTCAATAGAAAATTGCTGTAATGGCCTATGATTGTCAGTGAATTGCAGCATGTTCTAAAGAACTATTTCCATGTCTAGGTTTAAGCCTGTACATGTACGATCACTAAGAGCAGTTAACCATAGACAGAGAACATTGGATTCAGTCAAGGCTTTTTTTGCTCAATTTACATAATTCTCCTTAATACAGTCCTCATGCTTCATGACTTTTGTTGATGCAGGTCCCATGCAATGCTCCCACTAAGCTGTGGAGTCTTGTGAGCAAAAATTCTACTTTATGGGCTTCTGGCATTAAAGTTGTGAGTGAGCGATTTGGCTACTGCATGAATTAGTTTGCTCTGGAGCCATTCTTCCTGAGCTAAGACAAAAATGTGTGAGCCGGAGGCTAAAAAACTG